TTAATATTAATACAAAATATCCTTTGTTTTTCAAAAAAAATATGGAAGGCTCTGATTTTACGCCTTAAATATTTAAAATATATTTATTATTTACGTGAACGGTCATATAGAAATTCGAAATACATAAAACTATAAAGATGTTTTTAAAAAAACCAAAAAAATCACGTTTCAAATTCTTATTATTTTATGTGTACAACAGTACAATCAATATATCACACCAGTGTAGAAGGTCAAAGATGCACGAGTTGGAATTGATTTCTTGCATATGTGGTAGTGTAGCAGCGCATATTTTATATATCAGTGAGAATACATGATTACAGTAGTTGCCATAGTAATATATTATGTCAAGTGGTGATTTTAATTCACCACCTGAGGATGGGTGCAGTCAATCATTGTCACGGCCACACTCGCGCTTGAGTGACAGATGCATATCACCCGGCGGCGAAAGCCGAATATCCAGCGAGATAGCAATGACTAGAGGAAACCTTTCTCGATCGGTGGAACTCACAGATAAATTTGCTCGTACATGTAAGTACAGTTTGGCGGTGGATTTGATCATATGGTTATCTGGTATATGCCTATGGATTGCGTCCGTCTTAATCGCGGATAATGTAGATTCCATAATATCTAATCAGCAGTCGAGATTTCTAATTGTAATTATATGGAACACTGTCTTAACGGTTATAGTTACTATACTGACAGTGTTGATATATATATATAGAGGAGAACCAGAGTTAGTTTCAAGGGGGAAATCGTTTTTGATCCAGGCTACAGCCTGCACGACTGGAGTGCTACTGTTTCAAATCGTTGGAGGCTGTGTGCTGTTCCAGAAGACGGGGTTGTCAGCATACGATAGTACTAACTGGTATATGTATACCTGGGCTAGCTTATATTCTGGAGCTATCATATGCTTCTTTGGTATCGTGTCCGCTGTCAACCTGCGTCTGAGGGTGGTATACAAGGTGTACGTATGCGAGGCATACAGTACAAAGTACTGGCACGGGCTTCTACTACACTTACCCATGATTCTTCTGAGTCCAATGTCGGTACTTTTCTGTACGATGAGTAAAGTGGAGTGCTCCGCCAGCGTCTACTGGACAAGCTTGTGGGTGATATGGGGACTTTTTTCCGCCGAATTGGTGTACTACATATTTAGGACACGGGATGTGCCAAACTTATTCATAGACATAAGGCTGCAATTACGGCTGCTTTTGCTAGTCACATCTGTGCTGGTTATAGGAGTTTGTTGTTCTGCTTTTAAACACGCGGTGATTGCCTTAGACCTCTTTAACATCTGCATACCAATGTGTGCTACACTATATCTTTGGGAGTTGTTCGGATTATCACTCATCAAAGTGGTTGGGCGTCACTACAAAAAGGACTGGTTCTTGAATTCTACTCTGGCCGGGGTGGCATACGTGGATATGCATGATACTAAAAATAATTTAATATCGCATGTGCTTACGGATTCGTTTTTACGGTCAAGGCTAGTGCAGATGTGCACAGAAAGGTTGTGTTTGGAGAATCTTTTGTTCCTTGAATCTATGGACCGCTTTCATCATTCGCAAGGGGGATCAAGCCGGATTCTAATAGCTAGGGCTATCGCAGATCTACACTTGACTGGTACAGTGAAGACCTACTACATCAACGTGGCGCATGAAACTCGGAAGGTAATAATCAGTGAGATTGAGTATGATCACGTATCTCCCGAACTCGAAGAGGCGCTAGGGGAAGCCGTGCGGCGGATAAGTGCTATGATGTCGGCCTACGTGGTAGAATTGTTCAATCAACGAGAGGTGATCATGTACTGCAGAAAATTCAACGCACTTGCCAAGGTAGGGATCGTGGTACTAGATAGAAGTCACTCAATCCCCATGGTCGGTTCGAGTTCAAATGCAGAAGCGGATAGTAGTGGTATGAATCGGGCTGCCATCCGCGATATGAGTTCTCAGACCTTACCTACGAGTTTGAGTACGTCAAATTTTTCGTTAGTAAGGATGGCAAGGCGTGTAAGTACAGATATGAGACCGGGTGATCGGTGTAATTCCAAGATACTGGAGAGCAGGATTGACCTCAAAAACAAAAGGCAACGTCCGAGCTTCGAAACAAGGTTTGGTACAACACCGCAGGACCCTGTGGATACGAAGGCAGAATTGACTATTGTTGATTCGCTTGTGTGTGCACCGGGTGCCTTGGGAATCGACGACGACGATGAAGTGAAGAATGATAAGGACACGTCAGTATAAGTAGGACGACAGAGACGCTGTGGACAAGCTAGGTGATCCTACATTCATAATATAGGGATTAAGTGGATGAGCTGAGTGATGCTAAATTCACAACTGGTAGGAATTTAGTGGCTGTCGAAAGTGCGTCTATATCTATCGTAAGTACGTCTACACAATATTAGAATAATAAATAGCAAGATCAAATGCTTCAAACAACGTGAGAATATCGCATTCAACGTATAAATGTACAAGTATGATGGAAGAAAACTTTTTCATTGTGGTGATATGGACTCAACAAACGTGACAGAAAAGTTAGTATTTGGGCCTGATGGTTCTTGGAAGTCTTCACATCACGTGTGTACTGGGATGATAGTATCGTGCACACCTAGGGCACGTGGTCCAGGATGTGAGTACATCTATAGTGTGTTTACACATGTACAACGGTAAAGTTACTGGCGCCAATATGGACAGCCTTCATGCAGTATGTTTATATATCTTGAAACATTGGTTGATTTCAAAGGTATAAGATTGGAGTACAAGACTGTCGGACACAAAATGTACAGCTTGCTAGTTGTTGGCAAGACGGGGACCCAAGCCAACTACCGTCTCATATGCCGAGAGTCTCAGAGTCTCAGAAGGCTTATCGCGTGATAAAAGTTGGGCAGTTGCTTGGTAGCCGCCTAGTCGGAGACAGGCACTGTGTCAGAAACTGTTTTGGCATCGAAAATAGATGACCTGAACGGATTAGTAAAACTGTATTCAAACCTTGTACAGCGATATGTGCTCTTCCTGAGTCCTTATGTTGACGAAAGCAACTCAATTGACGACCGAGTCATGTGCAGTATATTCGTAATCTATTAGCTGCAGAACATTACGAGGGTTTGTACCCTTTGTCAATCACATCGGGTCTAGTTCTATCAGCATTATTCGACCCCTCTGATGTCTTCAAGGAACAGACTGCGTGAAAGTCCTTTTCAATATGAAAAATGACTTAGTAATCGGAAACCCTGATCGCCCGTGAAGAATATTCTTTTCAAAAACAACTAGATGACTCCTTCCCAATCGCAATGACATCTGGTTTCATTTGCGAGTTTGAATGCTGGCGGATATCCGACTTAAACTCGTACATGAACGTGAGAGGACCGAACGACGAAGCTCCTAAAAGTTCATATTTCAGTTCATTCCTCGTCTCACCCGCTCAGTACACGTTAGAGCATATGTGATAAAGCGAGCATTCGAAGACCATGGTAATCACAGGTTGGCTTATGATGAAACAAATTTTCGCGAAACAGTTAGACATAGTATACTTGCAATCGGTAAACTTCCAATTGTTAGGCCTAAAAACCCTAAACTTCCACTTGTTAGGTAGTATTTGCCCAAAAGCTATGGGGAAGCATACGTAGCAACAGGGCAACAAGCCTCTATCACTGCAGAGAGATCTGGATGGTAATTGTAATGCTGAACTACCGAGTAGGCAAATAAAGAGCTACAGACTGTAACATTAGTATGGGTTGCGGTTATATGCTATATACTTCAAACTCCAATCGAGGTCCAGAATTTGAACAACCGCAGCTCGACTGACATTCACGTTACATACATACGATGATAGATCTGCTCGTGGATTTCCTCAATCACAGGCGTACTTTATTGAAGATTTCTACAAAGGGTTGTTGTAAATGCTCAAAAGCCAAACATCCAGTCCAATATTGAGTTAATATAACCCCAACATCGGCCCGTGTCTGTGTATTTGGGGTTGATGCGGTATTCGTCTCTTGCTCTGTCGGCGTAATCCAGTGCATGGAGATCGAACCTGTCGACACCCACATTTCCGGTTGCTACTTTTGCTTTGCGCTGACTCTGCAATTGTTGTCCAAGGTCGTCATGAGAAAGGGTCCCGCTACTCCAATGATGTATAGAGCTATGCACAATGTAATGATAGCTATCTGATAGATATACGTAAATATTCACAGGCACAGAGACAACCCTACATACTATAACCATTAGAACGTACACCACGATCTTTTCGACAAATGAAAATAAGTACGTGTATAGATGCAAAATATTTATCTAGCGTTTAGAACATACAGTACATATATTGTGCTGTACACGATGAAAAAAGTACAATATAAGTATGCATTCCCGTGTGCCAAAATAAACACGTATAGATGTTCAAGGGAGTACTGAATGCTGACAGACAGACGGACAGAGTAAACAACATACATCAGAGCATAGAGTACTTATATGCGGCGATCGCCATCCACTAGCAGCCAAACAGACTGTCCCCCCCCCAACAGACAGAACAATGCACACCCCGCCACACGGCTGACATACACCATATAACGAGACAATGGAGCGACATACTTGATGCCGTGATGGATCGTAGGGGCAGACTCCTATCATAGTTTCGCTATCGACCATCACCCCCTTTTTCCCCAGAGCTCGGCGTGCACTGGTTTCCGTATCGAAACGCACATGTATGCCGTTTTTCAGATCGTCTGTCGACCAGGATTCCTCTACCTTCCCACTATATTCTAAGTAGGTGAGTACTGTGGCTATCTGAGTTGGATAAAACCGACATTAGACTAAATATGAGCAGTAGACACAGGGCGAGTTCCATACAGCAGCAACTAGTGATTGTGTACATAGAGGTCCAGTGATAACATTTGATGCGGAAGTAAACGCACAACCCTGAAGCGGCCACTAATTACACTCGTACTTCCGAGTGCACCCAGAAACCCAACGAGCACACAGCCCCCCCCAACCAACCACGCCGGTGCAACGCGGCATGCACATTCATGACGAGAAAGCGCAGAACACACTCCTTCTATTGCGACAAGTATGGACACCTTCTCTGGGCCAAAGCCGTATACGGTTATGGTGCGATCGTACTCAGCCCGTTTCTGCGCCTCTTTATCAGTCACTGAGCCGTCGCGCGGATGTGCAAACGAATCACTGCTCAGCGTACGGGACGCACCTGTGTGTTATATAAGCGGAAATGTCACGAATGAGGCGCGTGTGTGCGTAGTTGTAAATACGTGGGTATGTGTGTGTGTTTGCGTGTGCGTGTAGGGGGGGGGTGTGTGTGTTTATGTGCGGTTGGTGTACGAAGGGGAAGGCATGGGATACTGCAACACATGGTGACGATAGCGATTGAGTGTACAATAAGCATATGAGAGCATGCGAATAGACATGCAACGTGCATTCTAAACAGACATGGAGCCCGTACTAGGCAAGTACTGTGCAACGGTACGCTGACACACGCACCTGATCTATTGAGCGAGTCATACAGACTGGATGAGTCTGAACGGTTCTTATCGTACATGGACGTTGACGGTAGCGGCTTCTTCTTTGGCTGTCCTGTGAAACACAAGATACACCTCGGATGAGTAGGAACAAGCAACCGGTTGACATCGCTAAATTAGGTCACAGCCAATACGTGCAAGCCCAGGATTTTTTTATAGCTTTTTTCTATAATTCCACGAACAACTTTGACTATACAGAGGTGTTTGTGCTGTCCGCCTTACTGCCAAGGCTTTGGGATAGTTAATAATCGATCGCAGTGTCACAGCTGGGAGTGATATATAAATCGTACTCTGGCAACTATGCCAACATACACGCCATAGAAGCGCCGAACTTTCACAACCAACGTATCACATTAATTTGTGTATGTCAAAATTTTGATTTAGGATAGCACAGAGATTAGTCGATGCGATTCGAACATACATACATGCATAACGTGCACACTTGGCCAGGGTTGTGAGTGCGTATGAACAAATAGCGTGAAGCAACTTCTAGTAGCATGAGCGCTGGCTTTTCCTGACCTGTTGCTGGCGCTTTATTGCTATATCCGAGGTCTGTGTAGTCATTGACGTTCCCGCCATATTCATAACTCCTCTCTTCCTCATGCGAAAGGCCTGCTGAGTTCCTACATACCATTTTTAAACCCGTGTTTGTGAAGTGAGCAGATTGTCGAGTGACCAAGTAGATTCTACTAAGCACTATTCATACATTTACACCAAAATGTGCTAATGGCGGGAGACAAACTAGATTGGCAAATTCAACCACGATACCAAAGACATAGAAATAAATATATAGATCTATATGATACTCGTCCACAAACACATACACACACACATACATACATACATACACACACACACACACACACACATACATACATACACACACACACACACATACATACACACACACA